CCTGCTGATGGATTATTTTCGCATTCCTAATATAATTATTTGACATTTACATAAAACAAGAACTTAATTTCATAGACTACTATCTTTGCTTATTTAAGATAAATTATTTTTAAACTCCTCATGCAGAAACTAAATTTGTTCATAGAACTGTCAAGCAGGGTGAAATGGGCATTTTTAGATTTTTTTTCCAACACGGTAATAAGCAAAATCTCTGTTATAAAGTAATGGAAATCTGTTGGAGGCAGACACAAGCAGCAGAAGAAAATACAAAGCATGTCATTATACTTTCAGCGACAATAATATTAATGGACTGCTGATTTCTCCCATAAAAATAAATATGTCAGCATCATTCATATGTGAGCATTTTCTCTTCCTAGGCTACCTGCTATTCAGGCTCAGTTCAAGGCCCACCTCTGTTTCTGTGGGGCACCAATCAGACCATTTCATTGTCATTAAACTTGCTTACTAATCATAAGTCATGATTGTGTTTGTTTCTTCTTGATTCCCGCTATGGGAGATTCTAAACATACCCTGATGCATCAGTGCTTTCATAGTTAAACACCAAGTTTTGCCAAAACCCAAATCAGTGTTTCAGAACTTGGTGCTGGTAAATTATCTACAGCTAAATTTGTGCTTTAAGCACAGGTAATTTTTGACAGTTTTCTGCTGTCATCATGACAAAGTTACTCTTTTGTATCATCCCTCAGCTACTGGAGGGAACACTGAGGTGGGCTGCATACTGGTTATATGTCCCCTGGAGATAATTCTTCAAATATCCATCTGAATCATTTTTTTGGTTACTAAAGATGAAACAACACAAAGAGGGATCAGTGGAAGAGACTGGACTGAAAGTGATTAATTTGGTGCAGGTGATATTTAGGTGGCAGTTTCAGTATTTCATATATAGTTATACATTTTGCAGTAATACCGTAAAAAATCAGCAAACACCTTCTGCAGCTTTGATTCTCTCCACTACTACCCTTAAATCTGTTTACTCTTAAATGTTCCATTTGCTTTGCACATTTCTGTCTGTGCAAAGATTTCTTATATTGTCAGATCAACTGTTGCTTCTTTGTTGTTCAGCTTTTTTCCTGTGGTCATTCCTCTATGTTGATAAATTCTGTCACATGGATTCTTGAGAGAAGAGAATATTACAAAGAACTGTGACATCTTTGAAAGATCACTCTGAAATACAGGCTTAGGATGTGCAGAAGAAATACATGTGTTGACACTCATAGCAAGAGGGATACTGAAAGTTATTGCCCCCATGAGTTGATTCTTAAATTTTCTTTCCACATTACTATACATCCAAGTTCACTCTGCTGAGTAAGTCAGGAGCTGGAACACCTAGCTGATTACAGGCTAAAGGGAGCAAGCTCACTGGCAAAATGCCCTTTCCCTGAGAATCTACCTTTTGGTCTATGGATATAAAGGGTGAACTTTGTTTTCCATCACTGACTCTGGACTTTAGATACTGGAATAATGAGACTTCTTATTGTTTTGTGGTGTAGTTGAGACTTATGTGAGCTTAAAATAGCATGCCGAAGTTGGGAGGCTTATTTTAGTTAAATGCTTGAGAGAATGGGGGTGGATAGAGCCTTGCTTTGTAAGTTGGGGCTGATGCTGCAGTTCGTGTGTTTGGGCTGTCTGGAGCTATGCCCTGAACAGGAAAGGAATCTGGGGACATATGCTAGTATTCTCTGAGAGCCTGAATTGCAGTGCAGTAAGAATGAATTATTAACTCACAGACATTCCCTTTGGTGCGTCTTTTTTGTGTGTACAAAGGCTCATCACACCTTTGGCTCCTTAGTACTTTTTTGAAATGGAATTTTCTGCCATTCAGTAAAGTCAAGACCCTAATAGTCATACGTAATCCTGTTCATCTGAACGCACAAATCCATTTTTTAGTTTGTATAAGTTACAATTATAGCTATAACTACTGTTCCCATTGATATGCTTGTGTTGCATTAACTGGTTAGCAATTTGGCTGGGCAGTGAAGCAGAGCAGAGTTCAGGCTGGGCTAACCTCTTTGGTATGCTCTCAGTTTCTTGTACAGGTTTTGCAGGACTACCCAAGTTGTGTGTTGTCAATGCTGCTCAGCTACTAAAAGAAAATCAAATAGCCATGATTTATTTATCAGAACATTTTTGCTACAGTTTGCACAGGAATTCAGAATCACTGGTCATTCAAGCTATCAGATTGTCTTAAATCTATAAGGCGTATAATAATTAAACTCTATCTTCTTTCTGCCTCCAGCTCCACAGATTTCCATTTCTATCTTCTAATGGCTGTAAGAGCCACATAGGAGATACTTCCCCAGTGTCCTCACTGTGTCCCTCATTAATACTAAGGAACTGCCCTGTCTTCAGTTATTGCTGGTTAATTGATATAACAAAAGCAGTAATAAATGGAGAATTAATGTAGTTTTGAAACCAAAGCAAAGGCTTATCTCAGAGAACCTATTTTAACTTAGGCAAGAAAAAAGTGTAGTAGTAACGTAATTTAACTGCACAATATTCTTCCCATTTAAATATGAATATCCTGCTATTTGCATACTTATCCATCCTAAACTGTAGCTGAGATCTGTTTGAGATACAGGATTCTAGTGAATTCTTTGAAAACAAAAAGTATCCTATAATGCATTCAATATTAGCAATGCTTATCTGGAATTCTTTTTTTTTTTAAAAATGAGGTAAATCCTATGTATATTACATAGGAGAAATTCATTGAATGATACCATAGATTTCAACAACAAAAAACTTCTAAACATGTTCTAGTTGGCAGCCTCTGAGATTTGTGAAAAACACACCAACAGAAACCACAGCTCATAAACTTTAAAGACAGCTAAATGATGATCCCTTTAAAGTCCCCAAGCTTTCTTTCAGCTGACATAACACTGAGTGGGCTACTCAAGATTTATGTTTTCTTCACAGCTTTTTTATGACCATGTGCGGCACTGATTCTTCAGACTGCATTCAGGTCGAATCACAGCTACTGTGAGTGTATTCAAGCATAGACAG